TTTCTACGCAAATGCCTAATTCAGCGTAGAACAAGATCTTCAGTTTTTATTGGGAAAATTTGAGAATAATGTACATGTAAAAACAAGTGGATTTTGGTAGCATTTTGTCCGGTTTTAGCAGTCCCTCATAATTTATAGACCCTGTAGGGACTTGAATTTAATTCTATTCTAATTCAGCGTTTATGGGATACCCCGATTGGTTTAGTGTCGACTTATTGTATTACACACCTGCAGGGGGGTCTAGATTAGGGCTATATCTCCACATACACGTAGATCGCATTAAACAGGCCTCATCTGATGCGTATGGAAATATGGGGGCCTCAAGCAATTAGAGCAATTAGTTCTATCGTCATTTTCCCGGTTAGGTGTAAGGAGCAAGAATGATAATAGCTCACTGTAGCTAGAAGCTAATTAATACAAACAAAAATTGTGATTGAACAAAGTAGCAAAATTAAAGCCAAAAATCCAAGCCATCCGGGAGGGTTCGTCATTTATTCATGGTACACAGGATGAAATATAAGTAGTGCCTGACTCTAGGTGGCTGGACACGCAGATATGTCGCCTTTTAATTTATTCCGTCAGGAGTCAGCTAGTTGTCACTGTCTTGGTTATACTCTTCGTCTGTATGGAGCTCGGCAAATGGCCCTCTCGTCTCCCGTGAACCTTACATATATATTTTCTTAACAGGAAATAATGACCCCTCAGTTAATGAGGTTTTAGAGTGCGTTTATTCAAGTTACCACCGATGTGAAACCACGTACAGTGGCTGTCTCCGGTATGGATTGAGTAGCCTGAGCGCCTACTCTACTTGGGAAGGAGACACCTCAGATCATATTTCGCGCGGAGATAAGTTAGTGGATGATGGAGGCATGTCTGGATAGCTCGGGGTTTTTAGGAAGTTCTCCTGGGTGGGTATTCACGGATGAGGGTTGACTTGGGGTGAAGAAAAAGCCGCCATAACCTCGCAATGGTATTTGCAAATTAAATCCGAACCATGAAAACTCTTGTAAGTTGAGTCATCTTTTCTGTACTTTTCTCTAAATTAGTGTCATAGCTAGATTCCTGCTTATGTAATTACACGTTGGTGCAAAAAGAATCCCCATAAGTACAGAGGGCTAGACACGTGAGTGTCAGCAAAGTGGCCTAGTTAAAAGGTCCAGTTATTCTATCTTTATTTTTTCCATCAAATTAACTCACTTTTTGCCGCGTGTCTACAGGGACCACTTCCTCTATCAGATTAAAAAGCTAGGATTACGAGACAATGACAGTTTGGGCCACAGTCCGAGTTTGACGTGAATCAGGCTATCTCTCTCAAGTTTGGCCTCCAAATCTCAAACATCAAGTCTGATATGTGTACCTAATACTCTCCTCGTTTCGGTCTATCGAGATATAATTAGATTAAATTGAGGGAGTACGTCGGCAAGGTGATCATATTTGGGCGATATGGATTGTTCTATGCAATTGCGGTTTTTTTTTGTTTGTAATTTTAAGGTCCTAAGCTACTGCTCCCGGTCCGCTATGGGTACAAGACCGGTGGAGCCGGAAGGGATCCCTGTGTTCTTTACCACAGCCCAACTCATTCCAACCGCGTGAAACCACTACCTAAATTGTAGCCGGTTTAAAACAAAAACAAATTCTAACAGTCAAAATTAATAAACAAAGGAAATTCCAATTTAACGGTCCAGTATCAGCGCTCCTCACCCTGACTCCTCCCCTTTCACGGTTTCCACCATAAATATCATTCTTCAACCGTGCTGAGAGCTGTGGACAAGGTCGCAGGTTGGCTTTTGAAGCAGCCAGTTTCCTGCACAAACGTTGCAATTGCGGTGTTCAGGTTGTTGTTAGGACTCTGACGGGGAATCTGACTTTGCTCATTAGCGAGACGCTTGGAGTAGAGGAAAGGATGTGGCTTCAAGTCTCGTATCTAAGATAAAATGAGTCATAAAACGACTGCTTATAATTGTTACTAGAAGTAAGACTTTTAATGAAGTATATAGTATCTTTTTTGTCTATCCCCTTCTTCTAGCTACAAGTGTTATGTGAAAGAATGAGCGCGACTCTAAGTCACGGGACATGGGACCCACAGGGAAGAGACAACGCTACAAGTATTTCGAGGGACCAGTTGATTAATTTTTTTCACCCAATCTGTACTACTTTGTGCTTTACCGGCGGAGTAGCAGTTAATGTCGAGCATCTATCACATGCAGATGTGCGCATGCTTTCTTCATATCTTTATTTTCTTATTAGTAAGCTGGAAATGGGTAAAAGACAACTTTTTTTTGGTCGAGTTGAAGATAAGTGCCAGTATTTCGACCTGTTACAACAGATTTCATAATGAAATATCCGACACTTGCCCACCATACGCTCCCAAGCATCACACTGTCACTGTCATTGTAGTGGTAGTCCTGTGTCCTTGGACTGGTCTTTGAATTTCCTCGCTCTTTATAGATATAAATAGTTTAGACTTTTTTTTTGCATCAGATTTTAATTGCGTATGCAGCTATCTAGCTATGACCCAATATCAAAGAGAAGTAGAGAAAAAATGACTCAATTTACAAGAGGAGCACTCATGCCTCAGATTTCATTTGCAAGTACTACTGCGAAGTTGTGGCGGCTTTTTCTTCACCCAAAGTTATCCAGACATGCCTCCGCCATCCATTAACTTTTCTCCGCGCGAAATATTGTCTGAGATGTCTCCTTCCCAAGTGGAGTAGCTGCCCAGGCTACTCAAACCATACCAGAGAGCACCACCAGGAGGCGAACCACAACACCTTCCATCGTTTGCTTGTTTTTATAGTGTCAGCTGCACTCTCGCAAGTGAAGTCTTGGCGCGCACAAAGCCCAATTCGAAAAACTCCTTGCCAAAATTCGGAATCTCATGCCCTTCGAGGTAATATCCTTCCTTCGCATCATCTTGTAAACTTGTCCTAATCCCTCTCATGTCCATCCCAAAGAACTGTCTTCCAGATTTGTGCGCCACGCTTTGCTTCCTCCGGCGGGAGTAAATATCGGCGTGGGCGTGTATTTGGCGACTAACTGAGGCCAGAGAAAGTCGAAGAGTGGTGTGGTCATTGGGATGAGGATGTACTTGGTCGTAATTGTAGGCTTGATGAGACTTAGGTAGGAGTCAAACTGGTTGAGAGCGAAAAAACGACGTGGAGGAGTAATTTGAAATTTTGCCTCGTGGGCCAACTTCTTTGATATTGCGAAATTTGACTGAACTTGGCTCTGGGAGAATATTTCACTCCCAGGTTCGTAGAAGGCACCGCGTACGGGTGTTCAGTTTTGCCCTCCTTAGTTTAGCCTTGGCCCGCCCACTAAAATTGAATCGTCTGCGCTGCTTGTGGCAAGCGAGTTGTGGATCATAGAAAGGTCTACAGGCTTACGGATTTATCAGATTTCGGGAGCACCGCACATGAACAAAATATAAATGTCTCATAAACTCACTCAGTCATATCAGACATTCACAAGAGCAGATCTCACGGAAGTTTAGGGGTAACTGAGGATTATGTCTATATGCACATAGATGACCTACAATTAGGGGAGAGAGAATCAACGTGTTAACCTCAAGTTCTTCACAAGATTCATTGTATTTATAAGTAATGTGATATGACGTTAACATTTTCTCTATCTAATAGAATCATTCCTTTCTTGCGAGGTTCATAAGGCACGCTCGGAAACCCCTGAGTTGAGAGTCGCGCCGACGAGGCCGTGATGGGAGACAGGCCAATAGCGTGACAGTCCGCCGGCAGTGTATGCCTGAGCAACATTTGTTGAGAAAGTATGTACATCCAACGTGAATCCATGACTGGCAACGTAACTAACATCGTCCAGTCAGAAAGCGGAGACGCCAAGATCGCAAGTAAATGAGGTGTTTCCATGTGATGTCGCGGATCTCACCTCGCCAAGTAGTAGTAGGGTAGGGCGTGCACTGGCCGAGGACCTGAGCCGGAAACCAACATCTGAATACACCCTTAAGTCCGTCCCCCTTCATGAACTTGAGAAAATACTCCAATACCAGGTAGACGGGCTGACAAAAGGATCAGTGCCACAACTTTTGCTCGAAACGCCGCACTGCAGAGACATGATAGCGAGCAATCAAATTAAGAAGGATACCTAATCACCACCCATGACGGTTCCCCGTCTCATCTAGCACACCGTAATTACTCGTCCATTCCTGGGCAATCGCTATTGTTTCTTTCATACCTCATTTCGCATAGCACGACTCGCAATACTGATCTGAAATCGTCTCTATTAAAAGACTCTGATTATTCTGAGGAGATTCTGGAGATCACATCCAGAGTGGATCTTTCGCGGCACGCGTAGAGGACGCCTTCATTTAACAAAGAACGGCTCTCAAACGTTGAATACTAAGCCAGGAGTATGATGCAGGCTATATTTCGGCTCATGATCACGGCCGAAACAAACAGGAGGGTCCGCTGTAATCTCGACGTCTTGTTTCAAATGACCGGCACCGGGCAACCTTAACCGGCCCTGGCATATACCGGAGCATTGTAAAGTTTGGGGGCTATCGAACTGGTCCGTCTTCAAGGTTAAGGCAGGATGAAATAGTCGCACGCCGTTAGCCTCGCTTTTTTGTGGCTTCAGTTAGGTAAGGCCTAGCTAATCTGGGAGCGGTATAATTAACTAGCTGACTACGAGTGAGTGGACTAACTTCGGCCTCACCCATCGCTTCCTTTGCTCATTTCGATACCAGCCCATGCCACTCTGCTTGTGCAAAATCCACTCGTGTCAGCCACGGCTTGCATCTATCTTTACCTGAGATCCAGCAAAGTCGCTCGTCAGATTATTGCCTCCTCATCTTCCCTAACAGCCCGACTCGCATTCACAGGGTTTATCATTTGCCAAAATAATCTACTACTCATGCTGTGTGCAATATAAGCCGTCGCTATCTCTCCTGTTCTGCGCTAAAATCTCATCGACGCAGAATTCATCGTAGGCATTGTGGTCGGCTGTTCTGTGTCGCTTTATTAGTCAACATGAAATTTCTTCCTGTTACACCTCTTTTCTTGCTGCTCTCAAGCTTTACTTCCTCAATCGTCCACGTCGTAGCTCGAGTTGATCCAATAGATTGTGCTGGTTTTATCTATGATGAAGAACATATCGCAAACCGCTATGTGAAGGCCAAGAATGCAATGGCAAATTGGGAGACTACAACTAAGCCAGAAACCGCAAATAAACGTCCATTTGAGAGCTATTGGCAGCGAGCTCACAGATCGAGGGAAGAAAGGGAGAAATACACCTCTAATGCTATAATTGTGCCACTGCATGGTAGATTACGTAAGTTTTGATACCCTTTTTGCCTGTGCATCTACACATGGTCAGGGAAACGCATGAGACAGTCATCATTCGAAAACACTATGCTATTTCTGCTGACTTCTCGCCTTAAGACCCTGGCAGTGAAGCCTTCATCGTTATGGACAAGCCTAACAGTCGATGGGTAGCTAAGAATTTTGTAATTTACGGAAAGGATAAAAGATTTCACGATTGCCTTGCAGACTATGTGACAAAAGACGGAAAAAGTATTGATGGGATGGCTCGAATGATTTGGTTTCTAGAAAATCGAGAGTAGGCTAAGTGGTAAGAAGAGGAATGGTGGAAGAATTGTACGTCTGAGCTTGCCTCGGCGACGTTGTTTACCCTCGAATGAGTCGCCTGCCCCTGCTGAACTTCATATATTCATAAGCAGGATACATCGACTTGAAAAACTTAACGCAAACGACAAATCTACATCTCTTTATCAACTAGGGACAAGTATTTATAGGCCCTCGCACAGTGGGACACGCGTCAATTACATATTTATGGCGATTGTTGTAAACTAGAGTCTTAGTCTTCAAAGCTAATACTGTCAATCAAAAATTTAGATGACCCTCTTTCATGCTACTCAGTAAATTGTATACTACGAACCGGTAAAGTTAGAGATATTTCAGAGAAGCTTCGTCGTTGCCGGCTTACTTTGTTTCGCAGGTCGGCCTCGACCAAGATCTTAGAGAAACTACGTCCTCACAAGCAGTCTAGGTTTCTGGAATTGCAGTTTATCAAAGCCGCCAGCGAATCTTCACCGGTCGCCTGTTACCCGCTGACGTTCTTAGTCGGGGTGGCTGTAAATGGCAGACGACGTATGCACCGAGATGAGTGCCGGATACATGACAAAAGTTAGAGGATAAACCTGGAGACCGACGTCCTCGATGTTACTTTTGTGACCAAAACTATGTTAGTTGGTCACACTTCATACCGTACGCGATGTCTGGCCACATTTGGAGTTTTCATCCAAACAAACCGGCCATTCCCTTTACGAGATTTTCCATGGGTATGGGATTTATAATGCTCTAATTTCAACAAGTTCGCGTCCGTGTAAAATTCTCCCATAGCTAAGATTCATTCACCAGAACGGATGTATTCGAGATTTTCGTTGAGGTGCCGATCGGATGGACTTGCGTTAGCATGAAGTTGGTCGAAAATTCGACTTGCAAAGATTTCTCGACGGCAGAAACCAATAAACCCAGAAATATGCATGACAAGCAAAATTGCAGACAGGATGTGGAAACTCGAGGGATAGGAAGCAATCGACGAGTGATTAAAAGCTGGCGTGGGATCGGTCATAATATTCTGAACTTAAGATAAATGTGTCTGGAAAGATACGAATTTGTATATCTGTAGGGGGACAATTCTCAACACCTGTCAGCGGTGTCCCCTACGAACCTCCAGCTCTCACTGTAGAGTCTGCAGAGCCGAGACTGAGTAACAAAGTCCTCACTTCGACGAGGATTCCCAATCGCTTTCGCGGTCTGTATCGTCTTCATCTCTCAACACATTCCCCTATCACCATTATCATAAAGCTAACCACGATCAGATCAGATGGTAGGGTCAGAGCCCTACTCATCACCAATCCTTGATCATGGAGGAAAATCCATCCGATGAGTTTTCGGAGCGTACCCAGCACCCGATACGGAGATGGCGGATTGGATCAAGTCGACCTCGACTGTTACAAAGAAGGGAGATTTAGATGAATATGCGCACCTCATGTGGGCCCGGTGTCTAGGCCTCGCCTGGCTGGGGCTGCAGGTTTTTTGAGACTTTTTCCCGCGCACGCAGTTTCCATTGCTACCATTTTTATTTTTTTTGGGTAGAAGGTTCCGTGGAAAAGGTGGCTGAATTCCACGGGTAAATACTGAGCTGAATGGCTATTCATCAAGGGGAATATATCAATGATCTTTCAAGTAACAAAAGAGGATAGGAGCACTGTACAAGGTGTGGCCTGGGTCAGAGAGGAGCCCAATGTGCTAGATAGTCATAGACTCAAGTAGCACAATAAACACAAACACACACACACACTGTATATCTGTACATAGGAATTCATCAACTGTTCAAATAAAGTTACTTGTAACGGCTTGTGAGCCGATTTTTCAGGATTTGCAGCACCTATTGTTATATTGTCCTAAATTTAGAGAAAAAAAGAACAGATGTTTTCAGGGCATAGAGCCAAGAACACTCCCAATACTATTTCGAACAAAGATAGGAAAGGAAGCTCTTCTTAAATATTTGGACAGATCCAAGTGCATGGTAGCACACAAAGGATATTATAATAGGAAACACAATTTGGAAATTAACAAGTAATTGGGTAAATTCAATATAAGGAAGGAGTTTGGGGGATCTAAATTATGTAAATAATGTGTCATGGCTAGATAGTTGAATACACTATGAATAAATAAATAAAATAAAAAAAGAGCCGATTGTTCTGTGGCACGTGATTGTATTCAAGTGCTTCAATAATTCTGCAGCAGTCTGGCTTTATTCCTGAGCAGTTTAGCTGTAAGTGTAATATTCCAGGCATTGGTAGCAAGACTGGGAACTACTATGAGTGGAATGTGCGAGAAGCGGATATCAGCCAAGAGCGAGTTTCCTATATATTTTCATAAATGTGTAAATAGTTGAAGTAATGCTTCGATAGCCAGTCACAGAGAAAATTAAAAACTACTTACATAAATCTGATAGCTCATGCATCAATTTCAGAACCGTGGCATTGCTAACGCAAAGCCTCCTGTCCCTCATCGTCTACAGCCCAAGGGTTTCGTGTGAACTCCAACATCTATGACAAACCTTTCCCATCGTGATTTCTCGCAAACCAGCCGTTGGAATCCCGGGAGTGACAATGAATCGGCTGACCGATGATTAGACCGAGGTTTACGTGGCTACTAAAAGTGTCGAGGCGCCACACAGGATCAGGCCTGATTTATGTTCGTAGTAAGACAACTGACACTCTTCACCGTCTCAAACTTTACTATGAGAGCATACTCAGCTGAGCTGGCCTTCCGATCCTCTCCAAAATCATTCCGCCACCTCCTGAAGCACTTTGAAGTCCAGAGTCATACCCGCAATGTAATACGCAAGTAGAAATTCATCCGAACGAATCCGTCGTGCCCTGTTGGATGCCGTCGAATTAGTGGTCTTTTATTCGTGTACACCTCTGCCAATGGCACCAGCAACTCAACCTGCGACGAATCGCCACATCAATCCGAGCATTCGACAAAGGCTGAGGCACCCATGCCTCGTTCTTGAACTCTACATCTCATATTCGGCCTCCACGGTGATGGGTGTTGAAATCTAGACATACCAGACCGCATTGCACGCAGTGCAGAGTAGACGAAGACTACATATCTTCGATCGCTACCAGCTTTGGTGAGGTCGCGGTTGGTGACGATCTCGGTGGTGGGAATGTTATTCCATCACGTAATCAGAACACCATGTTTCTACCTAAGCGAGGTAGAACATAGATAATTGAATGCAGATTAAAATGGAATACTTTTAACTAAATATAAGTTCAGTAAAACCAAAATTCTCCCTGATCCGAATCTTTTATCTCTGATCTTGAAATCCCCAATATCTTACGACTCATACAGTATTGACTTGACGGTCAACGTTCACTTCTATGATTCCAGATACCCCTAAGAACTTTCATAAGGGATACGGCAGAAACGGGCCAAGGCTTGAGGGATAGACTATCTACAAGGTCTCTGAAGTTGCTATAATAGCTGAATGATTTCGGAGAAGCTATATGGAGGAGTAAAACGGAGCAAAACCTCAGGCAGCTGGATGAGGTCTTCAATAAAGATAGCGACCTCTGGGCAAGATGACGGCATGCTGGAGAATGCAGCTGACACCGTTAAAAAAAGCCGACGATGAAAGGTACCGTGGTCCGCCTCCTGGTGGTATTCTCTGGTATAGTTTGAGTAGCCTGGGTACCTACTCCACTTCGGAAGGAGACGCCTAAGATCACATTTCGCGCGGAGAAATGTGAACGGATGATGGAAGCATGTCTGTATAACCCAGGGTTTTTGAGACGTTCCCCTGGATGGGTATTCACGGATGAGGGTTGACTTGGGGTGAAGAAAAAGCCACCATAACTTCGCAGTGGTACTTGCAAATGAAATCCGAGGCATGAGTGCTCTTCCTTTATGTTGAATCATCTATTCTGTACTTTTCTTTGATATTGTGTCATGGCTAGATAGCTGCATACGCAATTAAAATCTGATGCAAAAAAAAAAAAGAGGCTTTAGTGATCCCAAACTCCCAGTGATCTAGCAACAACCAGCCACTCAATTATCGCGAGGTGGCATTTCATAGCTACTGCATTTCAGATACCACTGAACCTCATATCGCCCAGCCAAGCCTAACCATATGAAATCAGATCAATTGAATTGATCTTGATGGTCATACTTAGAAATCTAAACCTCCATATATACTAAGTCTAGATTTCCAACAGAAAGACGTACTGACACGTCTTTCCCACGAGTCTTTGGACTACGAGGCCACTATAATAATTAATAGAATGTGGGTCGTGCAAGTGAAAGTAGTGCATACAGTAAACCCGATGGGCAATATCTTCCTTGACGCCGAGAGTCGCTCTTTTTCCTTGAAATTTGAAGGAAGTAGCGACCCCTCAGTCACTGAGGTCGTAGAGCGCCTTGACTAAAGTAACTGCCGAAGAGAAACTAAGTACAGGATTTATAATCGCGTGTGTATGAACAACTTGGCCTCCTTGATAGCCCCAAGTATTCTCACTTCTAGCATGAAACTTATTATAATAGTGTGCAGCTAGGTAGCTACGACACAATTTCGTAGTAGTATAGAAAAGATGACTCAATGCAAAGGAAGAGCACTCATGCCTCGGATTTCACTAGCAACTACTACTGCAAGGTTATGGCGGCTTTTCCTTCACCCCAAGTCAACCCTCATCCGTAAGCCCCGTCCATAGAAAGGTCTCCATAATCCCGACTTATCCAGACATGCCTCTATCATCTATTGAACTACCTCCGCGCGAAATGTGGTCTGAGGCGTCTCCTTCCCAAGTGAAGAAGGTGCCCAGGCTACCCAAACCATACCAGAGAGCACCACCAAGAGGTGGACCACGGAACCTTCCATCGCTGACTTGTGTTTATAGTGTTAACTGCACCCTCACAGTCGAAGGCTTGGCGCGCACAATACTCTTCAAAATGTGAATCTCTTGGCCAAGATTCGAAATCTGAAACCCGTCGAGATTGCGCTCTTCTTCTACACCATCTTGTAAACTTGTCCAGACCTCTCTAATGCCCATGCCCCAGAGCTATCTCGCAAGCTTGTACGCCACGATTTTTGTCCACTTACGGGTATTTGTGTTGTCGTGGGCGTATACATAGTGGCCACCTGAGGCCAGAGGATAATTGATAAGAGGTGTGGTCATGGAAATGGGATGAGGATGCACTTGATCGTGCTTGCAGACTTGATGATTTTTTGGTGGGAGCTGTTGCCGTTGGGATTGAAAGATTGACACGGTGGGTTATCTTGAATCATTGCCTCGAGGTCCAACTTCTTCGGAATTTCGGAATTTGACTGAACTTGGCCCTGGGAGAATATTTTACTCTCAGGTTCGTAAAGGACGTGCCCTCCTGTCAATAGTATCAGGGATGCACTACTGTATATGTTTATTTTGATAGCTCTGTGGTGGTGAAGGCAATACGTTCAGCAAGAACAGCCACGTCGTCTTAGTGGCAACCAAAATACCGAGAGATGGAGGCGAAGCAGATGCGTCGGTAAATACTGGATGGTTCACGGGGTCACAGAGATCCACGGAAAAAAGCTCGACTCGCTGAGCACTGTCACTAGGATAATAGATCAAATGACCCTCGCCGTGGTAGAGCGCAAAGTTCAGCAAACGGCTAGCTTCGGTCCGTCCAGAAGGACACACAGACATTGACATGCAGATTACGTAATTGGAGCCGGTAGAGATATCACTGCCAAGAGTGGGCATGACTAGCCTGGAACGAAGCATTTGCGGCACAGCGCTGCCGATTCAACCATGCAATAGCGTCACCACGCCGTGAGCAGCGCAGGGACCCATTGACTCATATTTTTAAGCGCGGAAAAGCACCGGATAAGTGGTGGCTGTTCAGCGCAAAGCGGAGGAGGCTGTAAATTTAGCTCGGGCTAAGCCTCTGGCAGGTGTGAAAGAATTGTAATCAGCCGAGCATAATCTGTGGTAAAAAATCGAGGCGAAACGAGCACGTTTCTGAAAGGAAAGCCGATTCTCGCAGCAACGAAGTCTTTGAGATAGGAAATGAAATGCCAAAAAAGACTTTCATAACAATTGTTCGAGGCCCTGGCACATCGTGGCCGAGGTAGAATGCCGTTAAGGGTTGTTGCGTTATTGCAAAGCAAATGGAGAGAGATGTGTGTTTATTGTACTACTTGAGTCATAGACTATCCAACAAATTGGGCTCCTCTCTGGCCCAGGCTACACCTTTTGCAGCACTCCTATCCTCTTTTACTGCTTGAAAGATCATTGATATATTCCCCGTGATGAATAGCCGTTCAGCTCAGTATTTACCCGTGGAACTCAGCCACCCTTTCCATGCAACATTCTACCCAGAGGAAATAAAAATGGTAGCAATGGAAACTGCGTGCGCGGGAAAAGTCTCAAAATACCTGCAGCCCCAGCCGGGCGAGGCCTAGACACCGGGCCCACATGAGGTGCGCATGTTCATCTACATCTCCCTTCTTTGTAACAGTCGAGGTCGACTTGATCCAATCCGCCATCTCCGTATCGGGTGCTGGGTACGCTCCGAAAACTCATCGGATGGATTTTCCTCCATGATCAAGGGTTGGTGATGAGTAGGGCTCTGACCCTACCATCTGATCTGATCGTGTTTAGCTTCATGACAATGGTGATGGGGGAATGTGGTGAGGAATGAAGACGATAAAGACCGCCAAGGCGATTGGCAATGCTCATCGAAGTTAGAACAGGGTGTTACTCAATCTCGGCTCTGAAGACTCTACAGTGAGAGCCGGAGGTTTGTGGAGGACACCACCGACAAATGATGAGAAAAGTCACTCATCGCTTAGAGTTGACTTCTGGAAAATTAGGTATTATAATTGTTTACGGCTTGGAAGAACTCAAAAATTATGTCCTCCGGCTTATGTAGACATTAACAGAGCTCTGAATAGGTTGAATGATTTTGATATCATCAAAAAAAATAAGAGAGAAGTGGGTTCATGTGGACATCATCTTTCACAGATTTAAAGACAGAGCAACTCGTATTTTCTCAACTCAATCCATACTGTTTCTGATCATGCGCATAGCTTTATATCGTGTGCCGTCGGATACTTTTATTAGGACTGGGTCAGCCAGTGCATGACTCAGGTCACAGACTGCCCACAGGCATAACGTGGAAGTCATCCAAAGGCAAATCGTATAAATCCGGATCATACTCCAGCAGTAGCGTCTCCTATCACCATCAATGTAATTGCTCAATCTATGGCTACCCCGGACATTTAGGAGCTCTATGCTTGTAGCCTAATGTTACTATGTCTAGGCAGTGCGTGTTGAGGGAGAAAGAGGATCGCTTGGGGCAAAGCGGAGAAGAGTGAATTGGTTATTTAGCTTTGTAAAATAGGTATTTATCAAAAAATCGAATGTGGAAAATCAAGATTTACAGTAAATCAACCAGAGGAAATAGCGATAATTTACGCTGTCTTCTTTCTTCATAGAAGTGGAGCCACGCTAGTACGAATTCATACAAATCTTACTTGGGATACCAGAGCCGAGTGTGAACAGTGGAAATAGGGATTGCGTTGGGAACACTTACGCGTTGAAGTTAATCGTTACTAATAAGATTATACTCCATTTTCCGACAGTGTGTCCCCTTTCTTGCTTCCGTTACGGTTCTCATTCAATAGCGCGGGGGATTATTATCAACACTTGTCAGTGGTGTCCCCTACGAACCTCCAGCTCTCACTGTAGAGTCTTCAGAGCCGAGATTGAGTAACACCCTGTTCTAACTTCGATGAGCATTGCCAATCGCCTTGGCGGTCTTTATCGTCTTCATTCCTCACCACATTCCCCTATCACCATTGTCATGAAGCTAAACACGATCAGATCAGATGGTAGGGTCAGAGCCCTACTCATCACCAACCCTTGATCATGGAGGAAAATCCATCCGATGAGTTTTCGGAGCGTACCCAGCACCCGATACGGAGATGGCGGATTGGATCAAGTCGACCTCGACTGTTACAAAGAAGGGAGATGTAGATGAACATGCGCACCTCATGTGGGCCCGGTGTCTAGGCCTCGCCCGGCTGGGGCTGCAGGTATTTTGAGACTTTTCCCGCGCACGCAGTTTCCATTGCTACCATTTTTATTTCCTCTGGGTAGAATGTTGCATGGAAAGGGTGGCTGAGTTCCACGGGTAAATACTGAGCTGAACGGCTATTCATCACGGGGAATATATCAATGATCTTTCAAGCAGTAAAAGAGGATAGGAGTGCTGCAAAAGGTGTAGCCTGGGCCAGAGAGGAGCCCAATTTGTTGGATAGTCTATGACTCAAGTAGTACAATAAACATATCTCTCTCTTTCTCCTGTCATTGGTAATAAGCTATATAGACGCTCGACACGTAATCATGCCATGTACCCACGTAATCAACAATCAGGTCGTGGCAAGAGTCCAAAATAATTACTAGAAGACGACGAATCGATCTCTCCCAAGTTTGAAGTATGAAAAATCGTCGGGTCATGTAAGCCGCATCAATAATTTTGCGCGAAAGCTCTTGACAAAAGTCTGATTGCCGTAGCTGCAAATCCATATCTTTGGCAAGTCGTCGACCATAGAACAAGGGCTGGAAATGTTGTTCTGTTGGAGAAAAAATTGTGCATAGTAGTTTCTATACCCTTTTGTTCAAATTTTTGTGCCTCATGGTCCGTTTGTCTTACTATTTAGATGACAGAGCCCCATTTCTCAATTTTTAGTAGCCGTTATCTTATCGCAGTTTATACATGTTCCCTGTCATCTTAGGTTTAGACGCTGTAATTTTTATACCTGTGCCTGGATAAACATTAGAAACTGGCCCGGAATAATTTCATATATTTTCGACATAAACTTGCTCCAGCCTCCAAGTACTATCCTGGCGACACAACATGATCCTTGTGTGTCGGCTAGAATTTCGGGAATTGGCGGGGTACAGCTAGTCAAGTCCCAGCGTTCCGTCACAGGTGATTGTTCCCTATCTTACATCTCTCCCTATCGGTCTCTACTCATCATCTGGCGCATGTGAGGAACGCCTGTCGCCACTTCTTCGGCTCTGGTGTTGCCATGCGCTATCCAACAATTATTGAAGCTAGCCATCCTTTTCTTCACGCTTGCCGCTTTGGACTAAGTGGGGACACAAAACTAAAATCTACTCCCTAAAGCAATGAACCTAATAAGGTTGGATTTCTGACCATACGAACCTTACTCCCGACCCGTCACAGCGACTCTCACCATCATTTATCATGAACAGTATCAAAAATCTCCAAGTATAACACTTATCAATTTAACGGCTTTAGCTGGACGCTTGCATCCAGTTTTGTGAAAGGCTTAAAAATGTATTTTCTGCGTTGAGTATTACTTATTACTCCTTGGTCAGTGGAGTCGTCTTGACCGCCGGAAAAAGACTAGAAGATCAAGAGCAACATATTGGGTAGATTAGCTATACTCCAATGCAAGTCTCAGTCGATCTGGAGCTTGTCAAACTACTTTGAGGTAAATAATTTAGTGGATTACACCTATCTCACTCTGTACAGAAATTGGTAGAATCTATAATCTCAATTGCATGATCACTAACTTTTTCTCATCCAGACACATCTCTGCTTCTCTAAACCTGTAGCAAAATTTTAACCAAGAAAAACAACAAGAAATACGACCGTTATAGATCTTCCCGCATTGAATACAGGAAATTATAGCCCACAAACTCGAAAATTTCTGTCGAACCCCGTTCAGAAAACCCCAAAAATGTCCAGTCAAGTTCACAGAAATGAAACATTATCGGCTTCAAGAAAAAACGATCGTGCACCAACAGCACCACCCTCCGCAATCCTAGCAGAAAATGTCAAACCTTCGTGGCGAACTAAAAGTCGGGTGTTAACATACAAATCAGGCAAGAAACGGAGAAAATATAAAAGATATTTGAAACACTATCTATTAGGCGGTAGACATGCCATGAAAAAAACCTCGATTACAAAACCCCCCCCTGGAATACCACTGCAATTATCTCTGCAAAACTTTAGCCCAAATAAACAACTGTACGACCTTGACTCCGATATTGGCTCTTCTGCGCTTCCACCCGGACATTCCAATGATATTATGGTGGCTCCTAGCCTCGAAGTGAATGTGAATCGCTTAGGACTACACCTATCATCTGATCAAGTCAATTTTACCGGTCTCTACTCAGAGTATTCTGGATATGGCAACTTAATGGATCCCCTAGGGAAAGTTATTGGTAAAGGATCCTCAGCCAACGTTCGGCTTATCAAAAAGAGAGGTGTTGCGCAGAATAGAATTTTTGCAGTCAAAGAATTTCGAAGCAAATCCACCACCGAAACCGCTGAGAATTATGAGAAAAGGATTATATCCGAATTCTTTATTGCCAAAAGCCTGCGTCATCCAAATATCGTACAAACATTACAACTTTACATTAACAAAGGAAGATATAACTACGTGATGGAATACTGTGAGCAAGGCGACCTCTTCAATCTCGTCATTCAAAAGTACCTATCACATGAAGACCGACAACTTGATCGATTTTGTCTATTTAAACAACTAATCCGAGGCCTCAAGTATCTTCATAACAGCGGTATCGCTCATCGTGATGTGAAACTTGAGAACCTTCTAATCACTCAAAATTCCAAACTTAAAATCGCTGATTTTGGTGTGTCCGAAGTATTTTATGGGGCTCACCCGGGCTCAAGAACTATATCTAACTTGTATGGAGAAGATGTTCACAAAGTTCGAAAATGTCCACCAGGAATATGTGGTAGCACACCATACGTAGCACCCGAGGTTATTGCTAGGCAAGATGAGTACGATCCCCGACCACTTGACGTTTGGGGGGCTGCCATAGTCATGCTATGCATGACAAAAAATGGTCCTCTTTGGCATGAAGCTAAGGCTGAAGCATCTTCAATATATGATGAACTCGTACAAAACTGGACAGAGTGGAACTTCAGACAATCCGCACTCTTAGGTGACACTGGCTGTAGCAATGTATCCACTCCCTCCTCGAGGCCAACCCAAACAGACAATAATAGATTTCCAGAGCCCAAGCACCTTATTCCAGTAGCAGCAGATAAAGATTATCCATCTATCAATTTCTTTGACAGAAATATTCATCCCCCAGCTCTTCGGCGATTGCTCCTCAAGATGCTTAATCCTAATCCAGACTATCGGTTATCGATACTTGAAGTTGCAAAGAGTCATTGGCTACGAAATATTGAATGCTGTCAGGTGGACAGCTTTGATAATCCAGCCGTTACTATTGACGCTGTAAAAGGTAAATGCTTCCTGGATAATGGCCAAGAATGTCCCATTCAGAAGATAGCTAATCATAACCATCTTCCCTCGAAACCGAAAAATGTTGGTCGTCATTTGATTAATCAATTATATAATATCAGAATTTAAACGGATTGTCTCTCATACTTTGGTTAGAAGCATGAGAAATATTCTTGTCCACACTCTTACCTGGAATACCCTTGTACTTTTAAGTTGTACCCTAGCCTGAGTAAGCATATATTAGTCCTAAAATACTTTAATGACAATTAGGTCACCAGTCCTACATAAGAAGAATCTGGAAGAATTTCATCAAAATTTTCTACATGTATAAAATTAAGTTTAATGAGGATTGTCAATTGCGTATATCGACGGTGTAGTTTAAAAGTGCTACAATTTTGCCCCTGCAGGGTCTTCACCAACATGCTTTTGGATTAAATTTCAGATGCCAATATAATCATTTATGAGATTACTCGTTAATGAAATATCGAACTTTTTCTCTATCCTCCGCTGAAGTGATAAATGAATGACAATGCAATCCTTGTGGAATTGAAGTAGCTTAAGTCTGGAGTAGGGCTGCATCAAGGCAATTATCACACAGCACAAAAACTACCTCCCCTAATCTCGACGACTGGAACTACGATGGACTAAATCTATGCTGCAATGAATGACAAGTTTAGCATTTCAGAAAAGCCAGTGATCCCTTCTAGAGGTTCTTAGCCCAAATCCTGTCATTTACAGCATTCCAAATCGTCCTGTACGTTCCAAGGCTATGTGTGCCATACTTTATGCATATCATAACCCTTAATCCTAGAAGCCACTTCTACCATGTCTTTTCCTGCCATTACATAGATGTCGCTGTCCTGAATAAACTTTCAAGGAAAACAACCGCCCACTTGGCTCGACCAAAATATCTAGCACTAGCTCCTGAAGCATGTGCGCTCTGGTGAGGTAGCCATAAGATAGAAATAAGCTCTACGATGTTAAATAGTTCCCAAGTGTAGAATGTCGAGAGATTCATAGCATTTTCTGATGAAACACTGAAGCTCTTTGTGTATCTCTCGGCTAGATACCAACTACTTTCGAATAAAGGCTGGGTCTAGCAATGATCGGTCACTGTTTCACTCTCATAGTAGTGTCGCGTATACTAGTGTGTGTGGGCAGTAGGCGCATGCTCCACAGTTACGACAATCTGTGCAATCTATAACATAAATGAAGCGAAGTGAGCAGGTTGGGAAGCGCGGACGAGTTTCATAGGGATTGGGGGCCCACATTTTTCACCCAGGAATCCCACACAACCCTCACAGTCAGACCATAGACTGATATCACACTTCGAGCCGTATATTCTATACTTCCCGAACAAAATATCTGGATCTTGTCTTAGCAGTCACAAAGTCAGGCACCCTTCGGCCGGCCGATGTGGTAAAACATTGTGGTGTAGTACGTATTTGTTTCACTCGCTTCTATTTTTGGAGACACAGGACCCGCAAGCTCTCTCCATAGAGTCGTCTGAGCTGAGGTTGATATCAAACCATGCCAGGGAAGCTTCTATTGCCAAGACAGCATAGGGAACTGATTAACGCCACGCTAAGGCAACCATTTTCTGTCAGGACTCGGAAGGCATCTCAACAAAGTCCTCTATTATTCCCGAGGCACGAATGGTGGGAAGAGTCGAAAGGAGGCTAAGAAATCATGGAGAGTTTTATAGGTGTGAAGGTCAACAGGGCTCGGACTAGTGAAGCTGTGTAATTATTTATTCGTAGGAAACGGAGTTATAGGTATTGTGAGATTTTAGGCCTTTAGGCCTTTAGGTGAGTGGTTGTTTACTGTCCTAAAAAGTCTATAACTATGTGAGGACATGTAGGTCCTTTCTGCCTACAGGCCGGGAGTATCTATGCCTCGGGTAGTGTACTCCCTCCTTTGCCTCCCCTCCGACTTCTTTCCAGCAGTAATACCCCCACAGGTCTTCATTCGAGTGCACACTAAGAGGAGCCGTTATCTCGTCATTATCTCCTCTCTGCAGCCAACGAAACAATGGCCATTTGCGGGTGTGTAGCTGCAGGGAAAAGTCTCAAAAACCACTGGGTGTAGGGCTCTCCTATGACGAAGAGGCCGGCCAGTCGGGCGCAGCAGACCTGTGTATACCTAAGATCGTCTCTCAACCTTCCTAGCCTCCTCCTTCCTCTTTGCCTGATTCATGCCGTAGAACAAACCGAAGGCCGTGAAAAGATGTCAGAAAAGTCTCGGTCGAGAGTGACTGTCGTGAAGGAGCGTAGCCTAGCATCCAAAAGTCGTTACGGACGTGGGGTTGTCGAGTAACTCATTTACTCCAGATGCCCTCCTGGCTAGTAGATTCGGAGGTATAGATTAGTAGGGACGATATTATTGACGAGTCGAAATCTGCTTTTCTTGAGGGCGGAAGGGTCTTTTAATTTGCTTTCGTGGGCTTTTTGTTCGCCCGCCGGTGGGTAGCATATGTTGTAAGATAACGAGGGCTTCTCTGACTACCGTTGTAGCGTTTGGTACCGCATTATCTCTCCTCATTTCCAGCATCATCATCATTATCGTCTTGGTTGTCTTATGTGTTATCGGAAGCGTATTTTTGACAGAGGGGGAGATAACTCAGCTCAAAGTTGATAAGGTGTTACTCAATCTCGGCTCTGCAGACTCTACAGTGAGAGCTGGAGGTTCGTAGGAGACACCACTGACAGGTGTTGAGAATATTTCCCCTAGGCCTTTAGGTGAATATTTAGGAATTTGTTTGAATCGGATACACTTGTAGGCCAAAAGTGAAATTGGAAAATTGGGAAGACAAACAGAAAGTAGATGATTTAGTAAGACGGCAAATAAGATTTAGGCTAACCCTCAACAGGTCCATGTCCGTTGTCACCCATTACATCATCTTTTCCTCTTCAGACCTGAAAGATCCATGTAATGAGAGAAATGACTGTGTCATGCAAATACCGCTCTCCAGGGATATATGTAGCTAATATTAGCCCATGCGTCTAATGTATGCCAGCATTTTATAAAATCAGCCTCTTGGAATACTTTGGATTTAATCCTGATGTCGGTACTGGGAGAGGTCTGCACCCAGTGGTTCTTGAGACATTTCCCTGCAGCTACACGCCCAAGAATGGCTATCGTTTCGTTGACTAGAGAGGCGAGATAATGAGAGGAAAATGGCACCCATTGGTTTATGATCAAACGGAGATTTGCGAGTGCTGGCGCTATTGGATGGTAGTTGCAGAGGAGGCATAGGATGAGTTGTACGATGCGAGGCTGACGTGTCTTTGGCCGGTAGGCAGAGATAAACTACGTTCCGTAGAGAGTTAGACATTGAGATAAACCAGTGATAATGTAAAATAAGTCATGGCATGAAGGACGGAACATCGCTGTTTTCGGATGGGCCTATTTATTCCGTCTGAATGATTCACGGGATATGCAGGTAGTCGGCCCTGCTTCATATTCGAGGTATAATGTACCCACTAAACAAGACTTGAAGGCCGCCTTGCTCTGAGCTTACTTTGCAAGCACCACAATGGTCTTGTGTGCCTACGCTTGAGTGCCAAACTTTATACAGTGCTATTTCCTACCAGTCTCGAGGCTATGGTATCAGAGTCTGCTAGTATCATCTTCAACTCCTTGGCGCGAGGTGTGGTCGGGTCCGGGAGGATGATGCGCCAGAGCAAGGCAGTCTCGAATTGAAAGATCTGCCATGAATTAATACCACTAGGCCATGCGACCAGAGTCTCAACCCCCACGGCCTGGTCGGGGTTACGATTATCCGGGGGCTTTCAGCTTTCCCCGCCAGCATCTTCACTTCAATCTCGTTACCCCACGTTTTTCCCACAGGTCCAGGCCCCCTTCCCCGCGCCACATCACCTTTATAATCCAGCCCAATCGTGTCTGAGTCAAGTCAGCCCGAATGTGTTATCTCTTGGTTGCTTTCTAATTCGTAGGTCATACGGCGTCATGCAGTCACGAGAAGGTTCGTCCCTATCAGCCCCCCTCCCCTACCCAGAGACAGATGCCGCCCACAATGAAGGTAAAACCGCAATGCGGGCTGGCGGCTAGATGATTGTCTCCCGCCGCTGTGTTCTTCTCATATCCCTCCATTCTATTACTCGTCGGCCACAATTTCTCGTGCGTCTTGGGGTCCTCCAAGCTATCGAATCCAAACTGCCCGTTACCTTCCGTCAGGCCTGCGTCAGCAGCACATCTGAGCCCTGGAGACGAAAAAATTCTGCTGAAGCAGTGGGCAGTAGCTACTCTGTCGCTAGGTTGAATAAGAAATTTCAATTATCAAGTCGAAGGAGTCTCTAAACCGCGTCGTCGTGTTTACTCTGACTATTTAACCTGATAGCAGAACGTGGGCATGAATGATCAATCCTCTCAGATTAGGAAAGCTATTAACTCAGCCCTGACTGGCCATCATTTATCAGACAGCCGTACACATAACCTGATATATACGCTGTGCTACCCAGGACAATTAATCGATAAATGCTATTCCTGCCCCTCGACTGCCCGCAACTCGGACCATAATTACCTAGAAACTAAAGATACCTTCGATACTTCCTTCGCGACATATTCATTGCCTTGGGAGACGAGTATCGAAAGCTTCATTTCTACTCGCTTTGCAGAATCAAAAATGCGCGCAATGTTGTCGACCCATCCAACGGTTCGAGGTCGGGCACCTCTTTCCCCTCCAGTCTCGCCAGAGTTTGGAAATATTCTGCCTAATAAAGTCGCTAATCATGTGCGCGATCCTATCCTTTACCATGTAAAACCCGCCTCACCAGGAAATTCATTTTTCCCTATCGACCCTGACGCACATCGAGCCGTAGAATATCATGTGGCCACGAGAGCATCTAGTGTCTTCCGGATCCTATCACCTCCCGAGATGAACGATTACACTCTTGCGCTGGAATTCAAGTCTCACATGGGGAAGGCTTTCAATGCAAACCGTAGGAAGTGGGCTCAACGCGAATTGGCTCAATTAAAGGAAGATAATTTGATGAGATCTGGAGGTATAAGAAGATACCAACGTTCGGCCGTCACAGCATGCTCAGAATTGCGGTCAAGCATGAAGAAATCTTCCGTTGCCCGGTCCACCTGCCATAACAGTGCTAGTACCACGAAGAGCACCAAGGCCCCCAGGATCAAGAGAGTTACAGGACGAGCTCAGACTCCTGATAACGGCAAAAAGGTGGTGCGCGAAGATAAAGATTTTGATTCATTGCCTGACTACAGTCCACCACTCTCCAGCTTACCAAATAAAATTAACTCCCTCAAGGTCGACTGGAAAGGGGCTCCAATTGACCTAAAATCTGACCCCTTTGCTCATCTTCTTCATCCTGACGAGGTACAGTTAGCTGCCAATCTTCGTCTCGACTGTGCAACATATTTGACTTCTAAACGCCGAATATTTATCTCCCGCATTGCGGCATCCAAGGTTGGCAAGAAATTTAGGAAAACCGATGCACAGCAGGCGTGTAAGATTGATGTGAATAAAGCGTCAAAGCTTTGGCAGGCGTTTGATAAGGTTGGTTGGCTCAATGTTAAATGGATTTTAGACTACGTGGAACCACACTAGCTTTCTTCTTTTTTCCGAGAATCGCCTTAGAGCAATGTAGTTCAGGGATTTCATGGGCATCGATTCAAGGCGGCACATATTCTTGCACCAAAGAAAAACTCTCCGATGAGAAGATGACGTATTATGAATTATGATAATAAGGTAATTTTGGGAGAAGCGACTTTTAATCCCGGGTTGCAGCTAGACTGACGAATATCTATGGAATTATGTCGCATCAGGGTATTAGGGATGCAATTATTGATGCAATTATTTTGGCGTTACCATTGAATTTGTAATGTTTAAGTCAAATAGTTTCCATTCAGATGTTTATCACAATTACCGGACTTTTCGGTCGTCGTATTTAGAGACTCGCTTCGGATAGGAGTTGGCTGAAGGTTGTACTAAAGTACATGTAGCAAGGAGGAAGTGAGTGCAATAACTATACACGGCGAGAAATAAGTGAGGTTTGAGCGCTAGTGACCGGGTCACTTGGATATGCATTCCAGACTAGTCCTTCCCCCATCCAAAGAGTCCATCGATGCGTGAAATTCAGTCTTGTCGAACTCGTCCCCATCTTTGCCCAAGATATACCCTACGTCGAGCTTGGGGCCCGAATATTCGTTTTTCGATAGAAGCTCGAGTTAGTAGACGGGCTTTTGTCCTAAACTCCACCTCCTCCCCAGGCAGAATCATTTGCTTTGCCCTCCTATTTCAGATACGCCCATGCTCTGGCCCATGTATGGAGCGACCAACAAGATGGCAGAAGAGTGTAGAGCCATACGAGTGGCTCAGAGGGGGACTGAAGTGGGATACGGACACATAACAGCGAGCAATTGGATGGGTGAAGGAACGAATTGGCTTGATTTGATGAGTATGCACGCCGTGCCCACGTAGATCCGCATGTAAGGCATGTGATGAATGCTAGAGACCTCCATGAGCTACCTAGGCCTAGGGAGAGCCACACACGCAAGTGGCGGGAATTGCTTGCCAGTCATTCCCTCCGCAGTCTCATCCCACCTCCTCCTACGTCACTTGGGAGCTGGCCGAAATACTGAGCACCTATCTCCCTACGAAATCATGCATGGTATACCGGGTAAGAATTCTGCGAATGATACTTTAACCCGGTATGCAAGAGCAAAATCGATATGGGCACTGTGAGAGAGCGAGGTGGTACGAGGAGCTCTATATCGATTCGAACCAGCGATCAAACAGGGAAGAGGATATAGAGGTGAGATCAGGAGAGAGCGTAGTCAGCTGCAGCGGCTCAGTCTTGAAATTTGGCTAGGTCCGAGGCGTCCCAGCTTCACGAGTTGTCAGTCCCACATCAAAGTATAGACATGCACTTCACACTTACCTCATGAATTTTCCACTAAATTCCCTTCCGGCGCCCAAGACTAGTCGAGCCATAACGTCTCCGGGCTGCTCGGGTCGTAATAGTCTGCCTTCGAGGTGCATCATTCTGAATCTCTCAGCGTCACCGTGGTCCATGATGGCGCCATGTCCGCGAACCTCGGCCTGCATTTCGGTATCAACGACACCTGGTCGTACAGCTATACTGGTAATGAGTGGTTCTTCGATGGCTAGCGTTTGCACGAGGTGGTTGAGGGCTGCCTTAGCGCTACCATAGGCACCCCAAGTTGAATAGGCTTTAATTGCCGCACCAGATGAGGTGATAATGATACGTCCTCGCGTTTGTCTAAGGACCGAGAGGGCTGGTTGGATCTGTATTAGTGTTATCCTGGAGAGATTCCTGGCAGAGAACAAGGACTTCATACAAATGCAACGGCGCTAAAGAAGTTGACATCAAATGCCGCCCGCCACTCTTGAGGATCCGAATCAGCTAGACGTTTGATAGGACTCACGCTACCGTGGTTGATAATCAAGCCGTGCAAGCTGCCGAAGACTTCGACGGCTTTGGCCACAGCGCGCGGGCCGACCTAGAATTCCATTAGCAGCCTCTCGTTACCCCGCCTACCTTGACGAACCGACCTCGAAATCATTTAGATCGCCGATAAATATTTCGGCATTTCTGGGAAATTCGCGCCGCAGGCCGTCGAGGGGTTCGCGAGTCCGTGCGACGCAGAGAACGCGGTTCCCAGCTCGTAGCAGATAGCGAGCAATTGCCAATCCAATTCCACGTGATGCGCCAGTGAGGAGTATATTCTTGGGAGCGATGTCGGGAGAGAGCATGACGTGAGGAAGCAAGTTTGGTTGTTAGAAGGCGAACGTTCAGGAATCAAGATACTAGAGTGGTGCACTTTATAGAGCTACTAGATACACAGTGAAATGGATTCGAAAATTGACAGTATTCGCAAATTATCGTCGCTCAAACCTAGGCCGACGTAGATTTGGGCGAGGGAGAGAGTGTAGCGATTAAACAACGACTTGGAATGCATAGGAGACTGTCGTAGCATTCGCCTAGCTTAGAATAGAATAGGCCTAATTGGGTCTTCAGTGCGGGGCTAGTGGGAGACGTCACGGGAAAAGGTGAAGGACCTTACAGTGGGATATCCACAGCGAAAGAAGCGATATCGACTTGCCCTCTAGACAAGCTTTTGACGCCACGCACTAGCTGTCACCTCGCCCATAATCAACTCAAAAGTGTAGGCAATTTATCCCACTAGGCTAATGCATAATGATCTCATGTTAGGGTTTCATAGCTAATTCGAGTTGAAAAGCTATCAGTAAATAGTCCTCTAAATGCCCAAAAATCGAAGCACCGAATCATAGCCCGAACCCTCACAAGCGATCTGACATGTCGAGAACAGCGGATCAAAGCAGAACCGATGATAATGAAGCGATTTTTACTCAGAATAGTATTTTTCATCAACAATGGTGGCGATGGAATATTTATAAGAATTTCTTCACTTTCTGTTAGTCCATTCCCGAGCCCTTGGTCATAGGACAGAAGATGTCTCAGCTTATGGCACCCCAGTCGAACGACCACTGTGGCTTTTCTGAGTCTCGCGGCCGACTTCATGACAGTAGATTGTGATGATCGCGGAACATCCACACCAACCTCAAGGTTTCAGGTTTATGCGACGGCTGGTCATCAACCAATGTTCTGGTGAGAATGAAAGCTCTGGATTGCTTAGGATAATTTAATGGAGTAGGCCAAAGTGCAAGATCCAGGAGACCTAAGATGGATGTGAGTCTCCAGTGGGCTCAGGGCTGAATTTTTGTTAGATGACAACGCGGACAGGTGTTCAGTTTCTGTCCTCTCAAGCATTGGGGCATTTATACGTCCAAGTTTATCAGTTCTTCGTTCCTCCAACTACACTGAGACCTACGTCTGAAGTCAAAACACTACGACTATCCGGGTATCTGTTGTGAATCCAATTATGGCAGATTTTCGAAGCTGTTCAGCTGCAGAGGTCGAGTCGATTTTGATGAAGACAAATTATCGAAATTACGAATGTGCGAATGTGCTAGGGTGCGAATTGATTACGAAGAGAAAAATGTGGTAATCGAGGCTCGGATTATCAAATTTTACGAATTCATATTTTCAAATTATCATATTATCAAAATAGCGAGTTCCAAATAAGCAAATTGTCCAAATATCTAAATTGTTAGAATTGATGAACAAATTCCAAATGTCCAGCCTGACCAAATCTAAAACGCGTTGACTCAGCACTAACCAAATTAAGAAAATAACCCCTGCACTACCACATCCAGATTACATCTAACAAATTCATAACAGTACCCCCTAACAAGGGTCCAAAGTTCTACAGCAATGCAAATTCGAAGCGAGCAAGTGGGGCTCACTTCCAATTTACACTGAAGAAAAGTGCCAGGGCCGGTAGAGGCAAGCCCTGCAGAAAGGTAGCCATGTCTTCGAGTTTAGCTCTGATGTCGGTATTAGGAGAGCCCTACACCCAGCAGTTTCTGCGATTTTCCCTGCTACCATTCAACCGGAATCGGTCATTGCTTTATCGGATGGATAGAACAGATAAAGAAGGGTAAATATTTCCAAATTTCTGATTAAATGAGGACTTGTGAGAGGTGGCACTGATGAAGGTAGCTATTTCGAAGGTTTAAGAGAGGATATACTACTAGATGGGAGTTTCTTGCTTATCATGCTCCTTGAATCTATGACTATCTAGCACATTGAGCTCCTCTCTGACCCAGGCCACACCTTGTACAGTGCTCCTTGCCTCTTTTACTACTTGAAAGATCATTGATATATTCCCCGTGATGAATAGCCGTTCAGCTCAGTATTTACCCGTGGAATTCAGCCACCCTTTCCATGCAACATTCTACCCAGAGGAAATAAAAATGGTAGCAATGGAAACTGCGTGCGCGGGAAAAGTCTCAAAATACCTGCAGCCCCAGCCGGGCGAGGCCTAGACACCGGGCCCACATGAGGTGCGCATATTCATCTACATCTTTCTTCTTTGTAACAGTCGAGGTCGACTTGATCCAATCCGCCATCTCCGTATCGGGTGCTGGGTACGCTCCGGGAACTCATCGGATGGCTTCTCCTCCACGATCAAAGGTGTGTGATAAGTAGAGCTTCGATCCTACCATCTAATCTGATCGTGGTTAGTGTCGGGATACTTCAACACATTGCAAAGAACTTAAACTATATGTCACGTTTCTGCGGTTGTGTTGGTGGATCTTGTCTATTCTCCTATTCTACAAAAGATACTAATACACATAATGAACGATGACTAATTTATGCCTAACATTGGAAAGTGAGGTCAGGACATTTATACCAACAGTTAGCTTCATGATAATGGTGATAGGCGGTTTGTGGTGAGGGATGAAGACGATAAAGACTGCCAAGGCGATTGGCAATGCTCGTAGAAGTGGGGAAGAAGGTGTTTCTCAAACTTGGCTCTGTGTGATGGGAAACGCAATTAATATTGCGGTCACGTGGAAGAGTTTCCGCGCGTACGCGATTGTATATAATATCCCTTGTCCTTTCCTAGATCCCTTTCTTCTGTGTAGACAATCTTATTCACCAGATTAGACCTCGTCAAAAAAATATATGCTACGGTAGAAAATATGTCAAGGGATGGTCAAGAGGAAAATTGACGAGGTCTAATCTGGTGAATAAGATTGTCTACACAGAAGAAAGGGATCTAGGAAAGGACAAGGGATATTATATACAATCGCGTACGCGCGGAAACTCTTCCACGTGACCGCAATATTAATTGCGTTTCCCATCACACAGAGCCAAGTTTGAGAAACACCTTCTTCCCCACTTCTACGAGCATTGCCAATCGCCTTGGCAGTCTTTATCGTCTTCATCCCTCACCACAAACCGCCTATCACCATTATCATGAAGCTAACTGTTGGTATAAATGTCCTGACCTCCCTTTCCAATTTAGGTTAGGTTAGGAAGTATGTAGGAGTTCACGCTAGTGTGCAAAATACCCTGCGTTTGTGAATTATTTTGTTCATCAACGTGCTAGGTACTTTTTTTTATTAAAGAATCATTGAAGTGTATTCAGCTCTAGAGCTATGACACATGACCGGTTCTAAATATACTTACAGCATGACTCTTTTGACGTTGGAGACACTCATACTCTGGATTTCATTCGCAAATACTACTATGAGGTATGCTTGCTTTCACAAACAGTCGACCCTCCTTCGTTAGTACCTGTTACAGGCTAGTGCCTTGTTTAGTTATAACCGGAGCTTATCCGGTTCATTTATCGAGAAGTCTTAGAGTACATGGCTTGGCTGGGAAGGGCAAGACTGAACACCCGTACGCGGTGCCTTCTACGAACCTGGGAGTGAAATATTCTCCCAGAGCCAAGTTCAGTCAAATTTCGCAATATCAATGAAGTTGGCCTACGAGGCAAAAATTCAAATTACTCCTCCACTTCGTTTTTTCGCTCTCAACCAGTTTGACTCCTACCTAAGTCTCATCAAGCCTACAATTACGACCAAGTACATCCTCATCCCAATGACCACACCACTCTTCGACTTTCTCTGGCCTCAGCTAGTCGCCAAATACACGCCCACGCCGATATTTACTCCCGCCGGAGGAAGCAAAGCGTGGCGCACAAATCTGGAAGGCAGTTCTTTGGGATGGACATGAGAGGGATTAGGACAAGTTTACAAGATGATGCGAAGGAAGGATATTACCTCGAAGGGCATGAGATTCCGAAATTTGGCAAGAGTTTACGAATTGGGCTTTGTGCGCGCCAAGACTTCGCTTGCGAGAGTGCAGCTGTTACCATAAGCACAAGCAAACGATAGAATGTCTGGATAACTCAGGGTTTTTGAGACGTTCCCCTGAGTGGGTATTCACGGATGAGGGTTGACTTGGGGTGAAGAAAAAGCCACCATAACTTCGCAGTGGTACTTGCAAATGAAATCTGAGGCATGAGTGCTCTTCCTCTACGATGAATCATCTATTCTGTACTTTTCTTTGATATTGTGTCATAGCTAGATAGCTGCATACGCAATTAAAATCTGATGCAAAAAAAAAAAAAGCAAACGATAGAAGGTGTTGTGGTCCGCCTCCTGGTGGTGCTCTCTGGTATAGTTTGAGTAGCCTGGGCAGCTACTCCATTTGGGAAGGAGACATCTTAGATTACATATGGCGCGGAGAAAAGTTGATGGATGATGGAAGCATGTCTGGATAACTCAGGGTCTTTGATAGGCTCCCCTGAATGGGTATTCACGAATAAGGGTTGACTTTGGGTGAAGAAAAAGCTACCATTAATTCGCATTGGTACTTGCAAATGAAATCTCAGGCATGAGTGCTCTTCTTGTAAATTGAGTCATCTTTTCTGTACTTTTCTTTGATATTGTGTCATAGCTCCCCTACGAACCTCCAGCTCTCACTGTAGAGTCTGCAGAGCCGAGATTGAGTAACAAAGTCCTCACTTCGACGAGGATTCCCAATCGCCTTGGCGGTCTTTATCGTCTTCATTCCTCACCACATTCCCCTATCACCATTGTCATGAAGCTAAACACGATCAGATCAGATGGTAGGGTCAGAGCCCTACTCATCACCAATCCTTGATCATGGAGGAAAATCCATCCGATGAGTTTTCGGAGCGTACCCAGCACCCGATACGGAGATGGTGGATTGGATCAAGTCGGCCTCGACTGTTACAAAGAAGGGAGACATAGATGAATATGCGCACCTCATGTGGGCCCGGTGTCTAGGCCTCGCCCGGCTGGGGCTGCAGGTATTTTGAGACTTTTCCCGCGCACGCAGTTTCCATTGCTACCATTTTTATTTCCTCTGGGTAGAATGTTGCATGGAAAGGGTGGCTGAGTTCCACGGGTAAATACTGAGCTGAACGGCTATTCATCACGGGGAATATATCAATGATCTTTCAAGTAGTAAAAGAGGCAAGGAGCACTGTACAAGGTGTGGCCTGGGTTAGAGAGGAGCCGAATGTGCTAGATAGTCATAGACTCAAGTAGCACAATAAACGAACACTACTTACTGTTTCATAACAAGACAGTTGCACACACAGTTGAAATCTGACGCAAAAAATATAGAGGTGTGGGTGTTTGCTGAGTAAGGCTAAGACTAGATCGGCATTTATATCACGTGTAGGTGTTTCATGTTCAAGGTCCCACACCGCCTTGCTCATTGCATGCATTGAGCCGTAATTCGGGGCTAGTGTATTACAATCATTAGTTGGACTTTAAATCTTAATCAAACATTGAGCCATGAGGTCGGAATTATAGCCAAATAAATTGTGACTTTAAAATGGGACATGACGCTTTACAGATAGATTTGGCAAGTAATTTAACTAAAATTGGCTATCCATAAAAAATTGGCTAACACAATCGTATGGTAAATATACTCATAAAATCTTTGAATCATTCTTATACTTAGAGTGCTATTTGATTTATTCCCCGTAACTACTGTAACTCCAATGACAGAGGCGGTCTAAATACTGTAGAGGTAAAGGAACAGGATGACAAATTCCTGGGATTAATAAAAAGATTCTAAATGGGATTCCCGAAGAACAAATAGGAAAGGAAAGACAATAAATGGAAAGGTTTAGAGTGTTTTCACTTAAAAGTCTCCTTCCGCGTAAATATTAAGGTTTTTTGACACTTGGGACACCAAATCAGGACAATTAAATCAAAATTGAGTATCCACGTCTCGTATGTCAAGTCAAATTACTCTTTGACCCCGTCCAATCTGTTCAGTACTAGCCCCATGAGTGAGATGGTGCCGGGTGGTTGGACAGTGTTAGCCAGATTCGCCGATTGACAACGCCGAGAATGACGAGCGTAGCTGAGAGAAAAAAGGATGAGATTTCTTTTTTCTCCTGCTATAACAGTAACCGAAGCGCAAAAATTTGAGTCCAGACGAAATAAATGTCTACAAAGACTACGTTATGAAACCAAAGTTCGTAGAAGATTGGGCAAGGCGTTAGACGCTGACTATGAGCATCTCTTCTTCATTGCCGCCATATGAACTCTTGGCTAGAACAAGAAGAGCCATTCCCATAGGTGGGACTCCTTTGTGAATAAATACATTCGTACCAAGCCTCTATGCGTAGGGCAATAGTTAGATAAATTTAATAGTTTAAAGCAGATGGTGGACCGAGACCTCAATATTTCTCAATTGCAACCATGATAAAATTGATGGAATATAACGTTGCATTAGCTTATCATGTATGTCCTACCAGCCATTCCTTAATCCATTGAAGTGAGTTCCTTGCTTGCAAAGTCTTTTGCTTCCATTCCAGTCTGACTCAGAGATCAGCCGGAGCTTAAACTTGTCCTTTTGACTTCCGAGATTTAGTCACTGGAAATGAGTTTGTGCCCAATAAGTTGATGCTATGAATAGTCTGCCTACCGATACTTTTCAAAGAGAATTTCTTCTTGGAATCGTGCCTCAACATAAGCGATTTCATGGGGTGAATAAAGATCTTCGGGCGCTTTGGTACCCTCGTGGACTTCACGGGTGTGCACGATCGCTTCTTCTTTTGTCAAACAGACGAGATCACGAAGTGTGAGGGTGCTTGCGAGTTGATGAGGAACAGACTGGTCAATGAAGTTGGCCTCAGGTTTTCGCCAGCGTACAAGAGCGAGGCGAGTTGGAAGGCGGCTTATGGCACTCCGCCCCTTAAATATCTCTTCAACAATGTAGCCAACGTCCATGGCTGTGATAGGCAACTTAAGACCACGTGCGGCCTCACCAGGCATTCTAGCTCGGGCAAGCTTCTCTTCGGCACCCTGAAGTTGCGCATGGATGCTGTCGTACATTTTCTCCCGCCCTTTGGCCATAACGTAGTTTGTCGGATAGCCTGAAATTTGTAGAATAATATGGTTCGCAACAGCATATCCGAAGACTGCCGGCATAGTACCAAGCACAGGAAGTATTCGCACTCGAAAGTCAGGAAGGACGCCAAGTTCTCCAACAGTACCCTGGGCATGCTGTTCGTCGGAGAGAGGTAGTAGCTGAGCTTTCCCGGGACCGGGTTTCTCGGTTGAAAAGACAACTGGAATACCCGAAACAATGCCGGCAGCCCTGAGGCGACGGCGGGTAGCACGTGATAGTGGATCTTCTGTGCTGGAAGAGATATCACCTATAAAAATTCGGGTTGGGTCTGATTTGGCACCCGCCCCCATAGATGAGATGATGGAATGCTGCCGCTCATGGCAATACTTAAGTAAGGCCACCTTGCTATCAATATTATCAATAGCATCCACTATGAAATCGGGATAATATCCCTCCCATTCTGCAAGAAGCTTATCAGACGATTCGTGATGATAGAGCTCGTTTCGTAAATCAAATTGAACCCAGGGTGCAATCTGTTGTAGCCGCTTCTTCAAGCACACGACTTTGGGTGTGCCAACGTCGGCAAGAGTAGCTACAGCGTGTCGATTCAAGGACGAAAGCGTCACCTGGTCGAAATCAATGAGGCGGATCCGGGAAATACCGGAGCGAACGAGGGCTGAAGCACAATGCGAGCCAACACCGCCACAGCCAACGATGATGACGAAGGCGTTGCGGAATTTTTGTAAGCCAGAATCTGTCAGAAATGCGCGATTTCGCGCTAACTGTTCGAGAATTAGTTCTAAGGGGGGACCCCGATGAGTTAGCGGGACTATCCGAGCCGATTTCAATTAGACCATACCATCAGAGTAATTTCCTCGCTGTGCTTTCTCGGCCAGCGCAACGCTTCGTTGGTCTTCCTTGCTAATAAACTGAGGCTCTGACGCCATGACGTCCAAGCCGATCAGCTTCATTTTTTTCTATCAGTGTGTTGCCATGACGTATGAAGCTTGCGGAGGGCCAGGACAAACCTGCTCGCCATCTGTAGCCCAGGCTGGGATCTCGCGTTTGAGCTCCTCGACCTTTTCCCGATGCTTTAATTGTTGGTAACCGAGAATGACGCCTGCGACTATGGCACCTGATACAACGGCCGTCGTAGCGAGCTGTAGGGAGGGTTTTGAGATTGTGCGCGACCACCAAAAGCTCATTATGGTGGTGCTTCGTTTGCAGAAAAATGAGCGAGATAAAGATGGACCAGGGTTCACAACGATCTCTGCTGCTGATGACGCACGTTGCCGCGCTTCGCTTATTATTGGGAGGCCACACCAATCACCCTTTGAAAATTGGAAAGATGATTCTACAGGCTCTGTGACACTTCCAACACCCTTATTTCTTCTGAATGTCATACCTTATTCCTCTAGCACTATGCATACACCGCACAAATATACGTGGGATGAGCTCTACGCCTCCGCCCCCAAGGTCTCAAAACGCCGACTACACTTGGCCTCGATGGCTCACCATCCAACAACCTCAAGCGCGTCTCAAAGAGATGGCAACTCGATACTCGAATTCCCCATCCACTGGGTGAAAACGCGCACAACCTCACCCGGCTTCGCGTCATCCCTCTAGAAGAGCTTCTAAGCTATCGAAAGTCACCAAACGCGTGTCAAAAACGGCGTCACAGATATTGGTAAGATCCTAGAAAATTGGTTCAAGAGCCACATGGGGTTGCAGCAAGCAGTCAACCTTAAAATTGCGCGATTCCTCGCCACACAGCTAGAGTCTTTTATAGCTAGAAACGCGAGATCGAGCTCCAAATTAACAGCCTCTTCCAGCCCCCCGGGCGCCAAGGAAAACCTGGTAAAGCGCGTTCCCTCTAGCGCCCTGAAGACTACGCCCGCCTCCAATCACCGCTCGTATGCTGGAGTGGCCAGAATACAAGACGCCGTCCGTTTGGACATCCGTCCGGCCAAGCGTTCTAAGAGACGCGGCAAACGCAGCGGGAACAGACTTAATGGACACAACAATGACCGACGTATCTTAGTAGCTATTGACGCACTGGCACGGCTCAACAGAGCTAGCCTATATGCCCTACAAATGGCGCTATGTGAGGAAGTGGAAGGCCTCACACTCGCGGATATTCCAAGCATCACTCTAACCAGCACCAGCTGGTCCATCGCACCTTAATCTACCAAGGTGCGCGACTTGCTCGCCACCGAGAAGAGCGCCGAGATTATTCTCAAAACCATGCACGGCACTGAAGCTCACCAGCCATAGTGCTGGCTCAACTACGCGGCGCTAGGCGTCCCGAACGGTGTCCCCTCGTTCAGCAGGGAGCTTACAATAATCACCATAGGACTAATGGAAGAGAAATTCTTCGCACAGACCGGTACCCGCCCCGCTAATTGCCACCCGTCCCGATATAGAGCCGGTAGCGACGGTTGTACTACGTAGATTATATCGACCCTCAGGATTGTCCGCCCCCTCTGCCAAAAAGGCAGAAGGGAGCTCTCCAGAGCCATCATCAGACACCCCACTCGCTCGAGGCACGAAGTAGGATGCCAAGGGTGGTGTAATCCGGTCAAGTGCACGCGTGCCAAGCGATATGGGCGCTGTAGTGTCAAGAGCGAGCTCGACACTGGACCCTTCGACCACAACTACTAGAGCGCCAACCGCGGTGAGCTTTTCTCAGCTGATCACCCTCACAGCTTCGCAACTCCCAAGTGGCTGGGCGGGAGGCTCGTTAAACTTGCGTAAGCAGAGATTAATGTCGTGCGTAAAGCCAGCGCCTTCAACTCCCGCGATACGACGTCAAAGAATTGTGACAGCCTCAGCTCAGGCCTTAGGTGTCACGTACGTCACCAAGCATCATCTGACTTGGAACCTTCGAAAGTCACGTGGATAGACGAGCAGCGCTAAGAAGTGGTAGCACTCGTGTATAGCACCTGTATACAGCTTTATTGTGCCCTAGGCCAGATTTCCTTCCTTCGTTTAGTTTTCCTTAACTACAGGCCATTTCCCAAGAATCACCATTCCTGTGTGCGTTTGTGAAGGCTGTCATAAGAATAATAACTCCTCCGCTAAAGGTAGAGAGCTAGAGGTGAAAGAGCCCAAGACGCCGAAACCGAGCTAGATAGATAGTGCTGCCCCGCTCCCGTCAGCTCGACCAACCGGCCTGATTACAGAAAGACGCTAGAGAGCTGCAGCTGTCATGGCACACGAAAACCGATTCAGCCCCTCTCTCAGGCCCACCGACCAAAGTGCTCTCACCCACCAAACATGACTTGGACAACGAAAAAGATCCCCCAGCCCAGGGATTCACGGCACTCTCACAGGACTCTGCAGGGAGCTCTTCGATACAGCCCTTGTTGATTGATAGCGACGCGATGAAACTCGCCGATTCTTCATGAGTACACACCAATAATAACGTTTACGGTGCGGTGGCAACAGCCGCTGTCTCAATCCCTGCTGCATCTCTATCACGTGGGTTAAAGTGGACAAGGGAAGCCCGAAGCACATCGCGGCTCTGGCAGCCTAGGCAAAAGATAATATCAACGTCATTTTTGTGCAGAAACCCTGGATAATGCGTGATTTCATCACGCAGAGTTACCATCAATACACTACCTACTCCCCAGTATAATCTTTGATGATCTAACGGTTATGATTTCCGCTTATCATCATGATCGCGGGAGACCGGGGTTCGTCTCCCCGTCAGAGAGAGAGAGACAAGGGCACAATTAGAATTGTGGCATGTAGTACTTCCCGGTAGAACGCTGGGACGGCACTGAAGACCAGCGACATCGCGTTATTACATATACTAGACGCAGTAAGGGTCTTAAAACGGAGCAATGGCGACCTATTTACTCTCGAGATCTGGGCTAGACCACGGTGAACCCTACACCATCTTGAACGTATATCGATGTGTGTCCAGGTCACGGGACAAAGGGATGTTAACATTAGTGTGGTATCTATTATATAATCATAGGTTTGCATGTTTGTATTCTTAGGGAGTTCCTGGTTAGCATTGAATGAACAAAGAACTTACACTAGACATAAACTACTCCAGGCATTCTGCAATCCAAGATTACAGGCGTGCTTTGAGTTCATAGTCTACAGTAAGACATTCATAATCTATACACGTGAACGCACACCGAGGGCCTCTGCCAGACGAGGTGATCAACTATGTCACCAGTCTAGCACTCCAAAACCGTACGCTGGTGGGTGGAGACTTCAACCTTTGGCGCGACATGTTCGAGCTGGGGCTCGCAAATAAGCACCGCGGCAGGGACGTCTCCGATTGGTCTATTGTCAACGGAATGGACTACATTGGCGTCTCTGGTGCTGCTGCACAGATCTCTGACCATGTGCTTGACCTAACTTTTTCGAATATCCCCTTCGCGAGCACAGAGATTCTACATAATTTAAACTGTGAGTCCGATCAAGAGACGCAGGTAACCATCATCCTGGGCAGGGGAATAGAACCGCTCGAACAGACCAGCTAACATATACCGGAGTCAGGAATTTCCAAGTTCTCTGGTATCATCGCAAACACAGTTGGCAACCTTCCCAACGTATGGGAGGTCGATTTTAAGGGAGGACTTGATGACTACGTGACTCAACTATAACACGTCTTTGAGGACGCCATCGAAGCTGTGGGTAAGAAGAATAGAGGTACCGGACGCGTCGCCCCATGGTGGACGGATGAGTGTAAACAAGCCCACGCCATACACTGTCAACGACCTCTATTGTGATATCATAATATCTGTTGAATTATTACATGATGCAATGAGAATTCTTGGAGATGTTGCTCTAAGCTCAATGTGTAACAGTGAAGTTGGAATTACCAACTTTTAACTGGGAAGTGTTGTGCGCTAGGTGGAGATAAGGCGGATCTCAAAAATTTAGCTGGGAATGCGCATAATTGGTTGGAAGGATACGATAGAAATGAGTCTAAATGTTTTGTATATATAGACCTGCTCATATAGGAAAAAAAAAGAAATCATCCGAATTTTACAATAACGTCGCCTCTCTGGGGCAGAAGGTAGAACTGCAGACGAAACTCGACACTTCCTCGCTACGGTACGAAAATTCAAGCGACTATACTGGCAAAAAGCGAATATATAGCGCCAAATTGGACAATAATATCTACGCGATCTGTAAGTGGCACAAGTTTGAGCCTCAACACGGTCTTCCACCCCTCAAAGTCAATAGACTCAAGTACGAAGACTCTCTCAAGAAGGCGGAGATTCTCAGTCAAGAAATACTCGTGAGTTTTAGCGCGACGGACGATCTTGAGGAAGACCCCTGGAGAACTGGAACGGAAATGCGCGTATTCCTTGGGACACTAATATCTCTTTCTAAGAGAGAAAGAGCAACACTATCAGGTTGGCAAGCACCTCTCCATGTATTGGTCGAGTCACTGTTGGACGCATGGAGGCTTGCTGGGAACACATCAGCAACGCCATCCATGGCATGTATTCACGCTGTCTCGCACTCAGCTACTTTCTCCGAAGCTGGAAGTTGGCGGAGATTTTCATGCTCCCAAAAGCGAGGAAAAGAGACAAGACATCGGTCCAATCTTGGGGACCAATTGCCCTACTCTCCTACCTTTCCAAAGGGCTTGAGGGAATAGTAGCTCGAAGCCTAGCTTGGACATGCCTTTCACACGGCCTTCTTAGTCGCCAACATCTAGGCGCTCTTCCAAAATGCAGCGCCATGGATTTGGTACAATCATTTATCCACGACGTAGAGACGGCGTTCTCGCGCAAAGAGGAAGTCACTTTGGTCACCATAGACGTGCAAGGCGTTTTTGACACTCTACTCAAGCAACGAACCTTGCGCATGATGCAGAGCCAGGAATTTTCCCCAAATCTGCTGGGCCTGATCAACTCCTTCCTGCCCAGTAGGGAGGTTCAAGTCGGACAGGATATGGTGATCAGAGCTGCAAACCTTGTGGAGTGTGGCACTCCACATAGCTCCCGTCTCTCGCCAATTCTATGTATGCTACGCATCGCCCCTCTAATTCTGCAGGCGCTTAACCCTCGACTTCGATTCGGTTGCGCCAATGATATTGCCATCTATCAGGCCTCCAAGTCGCTCGATACGAACTGCGCACTACTAGTGCAAGACATTAGAGACATTACATTATACGGCAGTGAAAACAAGATCTTCTCCGCGCCGTAGAAGCTCAAGATGATTCACCTGTCTCGAAAGGAGGAAACCACCCCCCCAGCATTGTGGTGAATGAAGAACTAACAGTCAACCCCGTCACCACCTCCGATTTTCCTGGCCAAGCTCCATCGCTTCGCTGACTCGGTGTTTACTTCGATCAGAAACTCTCGTGGAAACCTCACTTCACAAAAAGAGCTGCTAAGACCACCTCCCTTTTTTGGCAGTGCAGCAACATGAGCAGAATGACGCATAAAATCCCTCCGTCGTCAATGAGGAAGCTGTTCCGGAACATTGTTATCCCGTCCTTGCTGTATGAGTGCAAGGCTTGGTACGCTGGGCTCATGAAATTTACCAAACGCCCAAAAGCGGGACGTGAATTAATAAGCGTGCGGATAGGCAGTCTGCACGTTATCGTACATCTTGCCATGAACAAGATGGCGAGAGCCGTAATACTGGTATGTAAAACTACACCCGTCGCCACTCTCTGTGTGGACAGCGACCTTCCCCCAACTGAGGTAGCCGTGACTCAATACAGAATCAATACAGACTCAATACTGTACGCAGGCTGCAGTCGCTAGACTCCCAGCATCCTCTGGTCTCACGCCTACTCTCTCCGATGATTGAGAACGGGCCTCTCGCAGGCTTTCGGCAGTGGGTCAAAACCAAGTTAAAGACAATTGGAGCGTTTCTCCCGTCCATCCCCCGACCTTACATAGCGCCGCCTCACTATTCTCCTGGCTGCCGAATGGATCCAGTCGCTGGGAGGACGAAAGTGGAAGCCTCGAACGACTTCATAAAGTGGTTGGCGGCGCTACCAGCATATTAAGTCACCGTCTTCTCCGACGGTTCTGGACAGATGGATGATCAGGGCAGGCACGTCGGCTATGGCTACGTGATCTATCAAGGACGTCACCAAATAGCCTCAGAAATTGGAGCAACTAACTCTTTCCCGCACGTGTTCGACGTGGAAGTTATTGGAGATTGGTGGGAGCTCAAACACGCCATCGGTCTATCCCACTTCCGTCAGTTAGTAACCTATTCACATGTGCATTAATAAGACGTTGGTCACCTGGGGTATCAGGGGCAGCGTGTAAGGGTCGTAAGATAGATGTTTTTCACGAACTATCTAGATCTAGGTACAAAAGAGAATCTTAAACTGGAGAGGAAATTAACTGGGGGAACCCACTATATGAATGATCTGGCTTTATGCTAAGGTTTCGAGTTATGAAAATAAAGTGAATAATATGAAGAACAGGATGTGGGGGATATCTCTTGCCCAGGTGCCTAGTTGCTCGGCTTCTCTACAATCCACTCGAGCTAGCTCTATCACCGCTTAACCATCCGACCATTCAACCATTATTATGCAGGATATTTGGGTCTCCCATCATCTTTCAACCCTATTTTGTTAGAATTTAGAATAATTGGGGCTATCAAGTAGGCCACGTTGTTGGTATGCACGTGACTACAAATTCTGTACTTAGTTTCACTTCGGTAGTTACTTGAATCAATGCGCTCTACAACCTCAATGACTGAGGGGTCATTATTTCCTTAATATATCTCATATTAATCCTTCAATATTCAGATACCTTAGGCTAATTCCTGAGTTGTGCTAGGCTCTAGCCTATGACACAGCGCCTCTAACTCATCTCAACGGGCTTTTCTGAGTACTCAGGGAGTCCTCGAAGTATTCGACGTACACGTGAGATTGTCTCCTAGTCACACAGAGATCTGCGGCAATGAGAAAGTAGACGGGCTCGCGGGCCAGAGGTGCAGGGGGCTGGCGATAGAAGGTTTAGCCAGTTATCCCACGCTCAGCAGCATCGGATCCATTGTAGGGGCTAAGATTATAGAAGCGCAGGAGTGCTTCTGGAGGGAAGTCAAACCAAAGCTCTCGAGGTGGCGTCAGGAATAGTGCAGCACCTACAAAATCAAATCGCTTTAAGAACTCGAGCTCCCTAGACCCTTACTCCAACGCATGGATAATTTGAATGATATCACCGTAAATATCATCTTAAAGACGCTAACAATAAGTGCTCATGCGGAAGGCCTAAAATTCCTTATCACTTAGTTTGCTGCCGCATAGCCAAGCAAAAATTTGCCTTGTGGTCGCTCCAACCACAATTCTCTCCCACGACAAAGAAGGAGGGAATAAAATACTTCTAGAGACTACTTGATGAGCCAGCTGCCTTCACCTGATTTCTGGAGGTCACAAGATTCTACGTCAAAATATACCTCAGCTGATGCTGAAGGCTCTCCCAACTCTGAAGCATTTAGCACCTCCTCACCAGGCTCGCCATACCTGGGCACCCTGAGATTCTCTCTAATCCACCATCCTGGCAACATACAAATACGCGCTACAAGCCTATTAGTTCTGCAGCTCAACACCACGATTGAACGGCCCGCGGGCTTGGTACTCTGGTCATAGAGGTCTCTTACAGCCCCCCTTCAAAATACGTCTCTCGTACGCCTGGGGAATGAGACCCATTCGCCGGTCGCAAATCCATCGAATCTCCACGGCCGAAGGGTTATCCTGCGAGGATTTTGGCTCTAGTCGAAGGAATATCAGGCAGTTCCCCTGGCAGCACGCTTTTGCTTGACTTGATGTCTCTGGGTATTGTGGGGAATGGTGCGAAAGTGATTTATTGGTCTAGGACCGGGGCAGTGCTGGAGATGAGCGCATTGGACGGTATAGGGCAATTTATCTCTCTACTTCACCCTGTACTACTACATTCGAGCTTATTACGACCTTATTACGACCTTATGGCCTTAGGGAGGCAATTGATAGGTTGTTTGGCGCTGCCTGGCAACACAGGTTGAAGATCTCTACTATCCCTTTTACTATTGGGAGGCCACACTGATTTGTCGGTAGGAGAACGAAGTCTGAAACTATCTAAACGTTAGCTTTATAGTTATATTTATTGGGATAGGTTACTGGCGTTTGCAACTGAGATGATTGCCACTTAGTTTTAGTTATATGATTAGTCAGCATATCCCGGTTTGGTTTAGTTTGTTCATTAACGTGCTAGGTAGAGTGATTCACGTTACACTCATACTGGAGCTTAAGCACGGGTGGGGCCAGGCCAGATCAGGTTAACTACCGTAAGATACAAATGCCTCGTCCCACCTTAATGACCGGACCACCTTAGACTTCACCCATGTGTTGAATCATGTCAAGCCCAACCGTCCAGAGAACCCCCTTTTGGTGCGCCGAAGCGTGAATTCCTCCTTAGCCTCAGCCACCACGCGCCCGAGCCTTTGACACCTTCGCCATCTGTATCTTTTCTCTTCCATTCATTGATTGAATTGAATTGTTTTAGGATCCTAAGTTATGCTCTATATCTCCTAGGAGTCAAAGGCCGGTGTACACGGCCGAGATCATGCCTTCCGCATGCCCACCTCGGTTTCACCGCGTGGACCACTACACAACCAATAGCTAGTTAAAAGAAAGGAAAATAGAAACTCCCGTAAACTCCTATAACTAAAATTCCAAGCCAAGTAATTCAGTTTATGGTTAGAAAAACGACACTTCTCGTCTCGTTTTTCTACCTGCAATGCATTGTGCTATGACTAGTTACCACCGTCTCCGCTGAGAGCTGGAGACGGATCCGTAGGTGGGCCCCCGAAGCAGCCGGTTTCCTGCGCAAATTTTGTAAAGTTCTCGAGACACTTAGGCCCGAGAAGCTTGTGGAAAAAGTCGTGATGTGACATTGTCCCTCGTAGTCGACGCGTCTGGCGTGCGTGCAGTAGACAGTGAATAAAATGGAGAGGTGATGTTTCCTCTCCACACGCACACTCCATTGAAGCTGCGAAGTTGTTGAAACGGCGGTGACATGCCGCGAAGTTTCCGTGGCCCGTACGGGCTGAGACCAGTTCACGGAGTAGCCGCCGGGAAATTGCCTGCTCGCGTGGCTTGCGTCGTCGCATGAGAAGACCCAGATTTCGATACCTAGGTGGACATACTTCTTCCCACCAGTCGTCGAGAAGCGCTTGTCGTTTGCGGTTCATGAGCCGACGAACGTACGCCAACGTGATGAAGCCAGGCTGGCTGTCTTTGCTTGGCAGTTGTCGGAGACAGGAGCGTGCAGCTCTGTCTGCATCTTCGTTTCCCTGTATCCTGGAGTGGGCCGGTATCCACTTCACCGAGACTCGAGCCTTTTTTGATAGCGCCCTAAATTGGCGTACATCGTCTAGGCTTGTTGTGGCAATTCCCGTCAACAGTGCCTTCACTGCAGACTGACTATCCGTGAATATATTTATCTGCTGTCTGCCGTCCCTTCCCCCGTTCTCCCTCTCCGACAATCCCAGCGCAGCTTCCGGGGCCTTCCTCGCCCCTATAATTTCCGCATCAAGCACTTCACCACCATGCTTGATGCCACATCCCTTCTACAGAGTTTTTCCATCCCTCTTCAAGACGAACCCCCATGCTGAGCGACCATTCCCCTCCGACGATCCATCTGGGTA